GATGTTGAACCAACCTTGCAGCCCAGGGATAAATCCCACTTGGTCATGGTGAATAATCCTTTTAATGTACTGTTGGATCCTATTTTGCCTCAGTTTTTTAAGAATTAATGTGTTGCCGGAATGTAAACAGCTTTAAATCTTGAGATGAAGAATTTCAAGGCCTGTTGTTTCAGCACTGTGATCTTAAAGCTAATTCTGTTTCTCTTCTCCCAGTTAAAGATCTTAAAGTTGGATGAATGGTCAGAGGATGGAGGCGCCTGAGTCATTATTTGGCCACTCACCACCCCCCCAACCTCCCACCCCCATGTCACCAAGAACATGTAGTCCAGAGAGGGGACTGTCAGGCCCAGATTTCCCTTGGAAGTGTTGCCAACTACCTGTCCAGGCTCTGCCCACAGCCCACGGGTGGCCTAGGCCATACCAGTCTGGGGGCCAGAGGACCCAGGGAGCACTTCAGCCAAGGGGCTCTGTACAGCTCGTCAGACTTCAGACCTGGGTGTCAGTCCCCACCCATGCTGTGGGAGAGTAGGCTGGGGGTGGGGGGTGAGCAGGCCGTGGGCACGACGTCTGCTTACGTCACTATGTCTTCTGTCAGGCTGGCTTTGGAACATCCACACGTGTCCCAGGGTAGGCAGAAGCTTCTTTGGGTTTAACCCAAAACCTTTACTGGTATTCATGGATGTCAGCTTTTTTTAGTTAAAATCAAATGCTACTCACAATTGCTTAAGAAGAAAGGAAAATAACTGTAAAGCAATACTGTCTTTATGCTTTTTGCCATATACTTTACAGTTGTTATTCCTGGTTTTCATGTTTACCACCATTGTCCCAGGGGCCCCCTAAGTGCATACCCGGGCTGGGCTGGTTAGAAGATACATACACTAGGCCCTCCTGAAGCTCTTCGTTAAGCAGGTAATAAAATCAATCCAGGTCTGGGCTTACATTAGGGAGCCAGTCCTGTGCAATGCACAGCCACGCGCATCATCTCAATGCGTGGTGACCACATGCTGGGTCAGAGATGCCATCCTTGTCCCCATGTCGCAGGTGAGAACATGAAAGCCCAAGGAAGATGAGTGATGTGCATGGCAGGGTACCACGTGAATGGGTGGGGATTCTGTCTGCAGCCTGCCTCCTGAGCCAGCCTCTCTTAACTTTCCAAGCAGGAGGCTTACTCTTTTGCCCTGGGAACCCAGCATCCACCTTCAGAGGAACTGGCCCCGTGCCACCAGGAAGTGCCAGGGCTTCAGGGAAACAGGACCAGACACCGCATCTTTCCAAGGAAGAGCATAGGGCCTAAACTTCCGGGAAGTGCTCCCGGCTCACAGGGCCGCTGCTTAGTTCTCTTGTTTCACTGGAGTCTTTGCTCATCCACCCGTACTTTTGACTGTACTTCACAGGCCTCTTCAGAAACACCAGGGTGCATGGACAGAGGGAGTGCAGATGACTTCATCCTGGTCTCCAAAGAAGACGAGGGGGGCAGCGCCAAGGGGTCCTTCTCAGGCCAGTCCCAGCCTCTTCGCACCCTCCGAAGCACCTCTGGGAGAAGCGAGCCCCTGGCCCGCTCTCCTCTGGTGTTCTCCGACCCTCTGATGGGCCCTGCCTCAGCTTCCTCCAGCAACCCCAGCTCCAGCCCCGACGAGGACAGCAGCAGCAACAGCAAGGACTCTGGCTTCACCATTGTGAGCCCCCTGGACATCTGACCACAGTGCCCCTGGCCTCCTTCGTGGGGACTGGCCACCCCCTCAGCAGCCCCAGGGCCCAGCTGAGGCTTCCCCAGTGGAGACCCCTCTGAAACCAACACTTCTTTCCCAGCATGCCTGTGGCCTTTAGTGCAACCCGTCAGAACCCTCTAGAGAAAGGCAGATGGCCACAGAGCACACAGACAGATGTTCACCAAAATGCAGACAGGGCTTTCAGGGCCCTATCCCACCCTGCCTTTGCTCTGAGGTAGACCAGGGTTAAGTATCCAGTACCATGTTCACTGTCAAAAAAAGACCAAATCACAATTAGAATCATTTTCCCTCTATCCCCTTCTCGCCAACTAAGAATTGAGTATGGCAACTCCATTAATTATAACTAGAAGAAGGAAGAAGAGTTGGTTTCAAATCTGCCCTCCCTCAGAGTGTCAGGCATAGGAAAATTGACGGAGATCAAGAAGGCTTAGTCTCTGGAAATCTCTCTCAGCCTATTTCATTTCTCCTTTGGGAAGCCATACAGCAGAGCCAAATACAACAGAATGGACTAGAACTGGTAGATTCCAGGGCTAGAAAAAACCCATCACTGACCTCTCAGAAAGTTACAGTGATCTTTAGAAACAGGGTCTAAACTTAGGAATCCTATTTAGGTGTGATGGGGTTTAGATTTTTTCTTTTGTTAAAGAGTACGTTTCCAAACCTCAGGCCAGATGGACTCTGGCCATCACTGTCCCTCCTCAGACAATTGTATTTCCCCCTTTAGAATCTTTCACAACCAAAAAACAAAGGTCACATTAAGCCAGTCTTTGCTGCACTGATTTCAGAAGTCGTAAGAATATTACTTCTTGAATTGGAAAATGTGACCCTGACTATGGGACAGATGTCTCTCAGATAGTTTTCTGGTGTCGTTTCTCTAGTTTTGGCGCTGGAATACACCTGTCACCTGTCAATTGAGAAGTAAAGGGAAAAACCCAAGCTCATTCCCATCCAGAGTCAGGACCTCCCATTGGCCTTAAAGTAGCAGTAACAGGGAATTCGACCTGGAGTCCCTTCTGGGGGAGCAGGGCTTCCCACAGAACACTCCAGACATCAGGAAGACGCAGGACTTCTGCACAGCCCTTCCCTTGCCGGGAGCCAGGCAGAGGAGCTGCAGGGCCCGGGTTCAGTTGCGCACTGCGTCCCAGGCACCACAGGACCAGCTCTGACCCGCCCGGTGCCTTCCTGGGCTTGGGCACACAATAGAGAGTTTCCCTTTTCAGCTGGCAGCTTATGAAATCTTGCTGGGCAGAAAGCATCACATGAGCTGTTTCTCTCCTTAAGAAGAAAGGCCCTGAAAAGGACACTTTCCCTGTCCTTTGTGCAAGCAGGCATTCTAACAGGATAGCCACGGTGCCCATTGCACCTCCATCAGGGGGAGCAGCCCCAGCCCTACAGTGACTGACAGGTGCTCAGGGCTTCTCTGAGGACGGCAAGGCTTCTAGGCGGTGGAAGCTTTCACATGAACCAGTGAAAAGCTAAGTTTGAAAGACTAGACACCGTTTACAGTCCTTCCCACTGCTAACCCTGTATTTCTCTACAGTGTGATAATGACCTAATTTCCCACGTGCTTTCCAAGAAAGCAGTGATGACTCGGAGTCAGCTACTGCAGAGAGGGTTCCAGTTAGCTCTACAGTTTGTCCTCAGACTCTAGCAGGAGAACCTCTGAACACGTGAACATGGAAGATGAATACTAAGTCTGGTTTTGCTCAGGTGACAGGTTGCTTGGCCTTCCATGATTACTCAAAGACAAGCTGCTGAGCTCTTTGGCTCCCCCATAGAGTGGTCTGCTCAGCACCCCCTGGGGGTGACTCATAGAGTAAGTAAGTTACTGCCCAGTGTGTGTCGCCTTGACCACACTTTGTATGCTCCCAACGTCCCCATACGGTGAATGGCCTTGCGACTGCACATGGTTGCCATGATTTTCCCTCAGAGGACCTGGTTCAGGGCGTTATCAGTGTTTTCAGTTCTCAGGTAAGAAGTGCGGAGCTGTCCTCGCCAGGGCTCCAAGAAACAAAGTGGAAAGGGCCATGGAGATGGCTGTCCCATGGCCATGGGTCCTAGTCATCTGCTTTTGGCAGTTTCTTTGCCCTGAGAGCTAGAGTCCTGATAGTCCAGTGGCACTGGGCCCCCACTGCCCCAGCAAGGCTCTAAGCTACTTCCCTGCAGTTGGCTGGGTGGTTAGCGGTCCCTGAAAACCCCCAGCCCTCCAGCACACGAGGGGCAGGTCCTCCACTCTGTGCTTCTGTGTTGGTGCCACCTGAGAACCAAGGGGGTCTCTCAGAGGCATTGCTTCTATGGTCCCCAACGAGCCGCTCCCTCCTCGGAGGAAAGAAACACGAGGGGGAGTGGGATGTGGGCAGTGCCACCCTCAAATTCCCATAGGTCCATGGGGTTTGAGAATTGTATTACTCTCTTGATCTTTTTAAGTGACTTGTTTTTATTCTCCATAGTTGAGCATCGTTTGCATTTTTATTAGTTACAGTGCTGTTAAAGAATGTTCCTTTTTTATTATTTTATCAAGTACTTAAGTGCACATTTTTTAAAATCCTGAATATCTGAAGCCTTTTTTGTTTTTAACAAATATAATCAGTGGAGCTTCTCATGTTTTGATTATTAGCAGTTAAATATGTTTTATATATATAAAGCTTAGATGAATTTTTGTTGTCATCCACTTTTTTAATACAGGTACCTGTGTTTCATGCATTCCTTTCTGATCAGTTTGGAAATGAGTTAAAATTTACCTCTACATTATATATGAGCTACAGATTAGAGAAAGAAAATCATTACGATTTTGCCTTACCTTTTATATATGCCAAGGGGTCATAAAACACTTTAAACATTCAATTATACTGGATTATTCTTCCACAGTTGACCTCCTGCTACTGCTCACTGCTACCTGCAGTCTGGTAAGAAATAATATCACTGCAGAATGAGTGTGACTAAAAATAAACCAAGGCCTCCCTGGGCGTTGCCTTCTCTGCATCTGACCGAGTTCAGTCCCGTGCATCGGTCCTTCGAGTCTGATTGCCCACCACAAACACGAAGGTCGCCTCCACTTTGTCAGAGACGAGGAGCAGATACAAAGCTCAGTGGCAGTTATAGGGTCTGCTAACAACAGCTGACCTGCCAGAATCGACTCAGATTTACTATTTTTGTTTTGTTTTTATTTTGTTTGTTTAAGAAGCGGCCCCCTGGGGTGGTTATAGAACCAGAGCGTGTATGCAGGACGCAGGCCTTCTGGGTGGCTGTCCTGTGGAGGCTGGGCCGTTCCCCCTCCCGCCCACAGGTGCACACCTGGCCCCACCCCTGCGTGTCCAGAGCAGGGGCGCTGGCGGTCCGTGGGGCAGGAGAGGAGGCCGGGTGAATTAAGGACAGCACCTGACAAGCTGGATTTCTCCCAAGCCATTACTGCTCCCCCTGTGTTACTTTCAAAAGCTCTCTTTTTGTAGTGTTAAAAAGAAAGTAATTCCTGTAAACAGGCTTGAGACCACTTTGATGTAAAAGTTGTCATAATTTGTCTCACGATGGCACAATTCATTTGACTTATGGAATACCCTGTTGTGCCATTTACATCCTATCGCTTTGTTCTCATTCATCTTTATGCTGTAACTCATACTGATTTAAGAAATGACTTTTCCTTTTGGCAAACTGATCCCATTCAGTACAGTTATAATAAAAGACTAATGTGAAACTGAGAACGTAACTTGACTTGTTCCACGTAGGGGATCAGTGCTGAGCAGGCCTGACCCAGAGGAGACCCGCCCAGGGCGTGGCCAGCAGGGCCCCCCACCTGGCCTCTCCTGTGTCAATGCATGAGGCAGTGACCTAGGGCTCACACCTAACCCTGCTGGTCCCTTCTTCCCCAATTTGGGCCCTGCTCCACCTACTGGTCCAAGAAGCCATTTGGGGGCAATGCCCCAACGGTTTGCCACCCTCTCTCCACTGTCCCCCCTCCACACTGGGTTTGCCCTGGTAGCCTCGCTTACACCCAACTAATATGGGATTGGATGAAGGGCCACAGTGCAGAGTGCACTCCAAGTCTTAAATGACAAACCAGGAAAGGTGGGGGGGGATCTGCACAGCTTAGGTAGAACTAGGAGGCCAGTGGTACCTTTGTGCCACTGCCAGAATTCACGCCTGGACCCATCCCTAGCCTAGGCCTCTGTCCCAGGCCCAGCCAACAAGGGGCTTTCCCTCCCATGGGTCACAACCCATACCCCCCAAGGGACTTTATTACCCACCTGTTCTGCCCTAAAAAGGTGGGAGGGCCTGGCACCCTTCTCAGATAGCTCATGCTGCTGACCAGGACGACCACCCACACCGCATCCCTCCGCGGCCGCCGGGAGCAGAGACTGCGGGAGCAGGTGTGGTCGGTGCCTCACCGCTAGCCCTTGGGAAGGACTCCAGGGCTGCTGGATCCTCCTCCTGCCCTACCTGCGTCACTGGCTGAGAAGAGGTGAGTGCAGGGGGCTTCCCTGCAGGCCTGAGTCCAGGTGCTGGTGGCCCTGCTTCTCCTGACTCCCTTCCCCAGCCCTGCATGGTGTTTGTTCCTCCTGCCGAAACGAGCCGCTCTTCAGCTGATCTCAGGGCCAGCTCTGGGCGAATCGTATGGACACATCTTCCTTCCAGGGCCCCTTCTTCAGGCAGAAGCCATGCCCCTGGCTCCCCCTCTGCCAGGTGAGTGGGAAGAGGCTGCAGGTGGTCGAGGTGGGTCCTCTGTCCTCACTGATGGCTGTGCAGAGCAAGGGTCTCACCAGTCCCATCCAGGGCCGGGGCAGCCTCTGAGTGAGCTGGTGCTCCCCGGCCCACTGAGTTCCCAGCTCCTCCCCAGTGCCCATCCCCCACGGCTGACAGCGCCATTAGAGGGGCTGCTGACAGCTTTAATTCTGTAATTTGCCTCCGTCGCAGACAGCGTTCTTTGCCTCTTAAGGATGCATAGTGTCACCAGAAATTTCTGCACTGAGAAGCACAGCTGTTGTGAGAAAGGACCCTTATAGAAAGGTGACAGACCGCGGAGGCCCGGGTCGTTGATGCGCTGACCCAGAGGATCCATCATCAGCCCACCGTCCCTTCGGCAGACTCCACCCAGCGCCCTCAGAGTGGGAGGCTACACGGATGCTGGGACACACTGGGGCCCCCAGACTGCCAGGAAAGGGGCAAAGAGACCCGTGTCTGTACTAGGAACACGAGAAACAGTTTCAGGACCAAGGGATCCCAGGGGAAGTCCTCCAGCGAGGGAGGCTCCGGAAGGCTCGAGGTGAGGCCAGTGAGCTAGGCCCGGCATGCCAGGCATCCTGCTGCTGAGTGAGGGGCATCCCACTTCCTGTCAGTAGGTGCTTGGCACTGGAATCAGAGCAGAGGGTGTCCTTACAGCCACCAAGCAGGCTGCCTTTCCCCCAGGCACGTGCCGTAACGTGGGCTCAATGCTGTCCATCGTTCAGTTCTGGCCAGAGAGTGTCCCCAGCTGGGGAAAAGCCCAGCAGACTCCTGAGGGCCTGACATCGTCTCGGCCATAGTTGAGGCAGCAGCCAGCGGCGGGTGCTCTCCTGTGTCTCAGTCTCAGAGGAATAAAGAGATAGGTCACAGGGTTTAAGTGAAGAGGGAAAGGGACTGCAGTAGATGTCCCCTCCCCAGGGGACCTTCCCAGAGGAAGGACAGCTAGCGAAGGCCACGCTGCAAAAAGGAGCATATCGTACACTGCCCTTCGAGTGGCACCCTCGTCCCTCCGCACGGGTACCCCCACCTCCTGCCGCCTCAGCGTCTGGCCCTAGTCCCCCATCCATCCAGACAGGAGCCCCTGGTTCCCACAGTGTCTGGCCCCTGCCCCTCCCATGGCTCGGTCAGGCCCTCCTGCCCATGCCCCCCCACAGCAGCGGCCTCATCCTCACTCGCTGGGCCTCACCAGTGGCCTGTTCCTCTGCCTCCCCCTCTCCCCTCCTCACCTGGAAGCAGCTCTGACCCAGGGGCCTCCAAGTGCTCAGGATGAAGGGTGGCCCCTTGCACCACCCACCCTGTCCCCGCAGGGCTGTGCTCTAGCCCCCTGGCCTTCCTCCTGCTAGGCCCTTTCCCAGCTTGAGGCCTCACACAGGCCCTTGCTCTCCAATGTACACCTGGTGGAAGCCAGCTTCAGTAGCCAGACTGCTCTGGTGGGGGCCACCAGACTCCTCCTGCCCGTGGAACTGCTTTCTGGAAGTCCCACTGTTCTATTTCACTTTGCCCACTGTGCCAGTTACTATGGCTATATAACCAAT